TGTGCTGGTTGGGCGACATAACAGGTTATCGCTACTGTGTATTCCAAAAACATTGTGCATCTTTCAGTATTAATTTATCTCAAAACCCAGCATTTTAATTTCTCAGAAACGATCATTGCGGGAAAATTGTGTGCTGGGACTAAGATTTTTTAAGGATCGATGCGATAAAACGATAGTTCGAGGAACGATAGAAGCGGGAAAATGTAACATTATTTTATATGGGATGTATTCGGGACCGAACAAAACGGACGATGCATCCGGGAAAACGATAGTTCCGGGAACGATGGATAGAGGTTTCACTGTAAATACACAAATAAAAGAAAATTCTAGGTAAAATTAATTTATGCTGAAAAAAATCCATTTTGTATGTAAAGACATAGAAAAAACTTAACATTTGTTCCCTGACAGATGAACAAAGTTTTCATAACATACAATAACCAAACCAATATATGCATGAACCGCATCTCAGCATACACATGTACAGAGATGTTTTGTTTTGCATATGGTTTGCATTGTAGGCATTTCTGAAACATCAAGTAACACATGTTAAAAATGACATGAAGAAGATAAATGTGCAAACTACAACAGATAACTGTGGTTGATTTCTAGCTGTCAACTTAGAGTGCTACAATATCAACTTAACGTACTGTTTCTAGGCACTTCGCGCAGAATGCGATACTCTCCAGTCCAACTCCAAATTCACCAAAGCAATCCTTACATTCAAATTCAGCCAACTTCCCACAGACTGTGCACTGTCGAGGAGCTGAAAACAAGAAAACAGAACTGTTCATGCAACACATCATTAAGCAATCTGAAAAAAATGTCTTTCTGTAAATGTACTCACAGTCTTCAATGATGTCTGTAACATCTAGAAGCTGTGAAGGCAGTATGCGTGGGTACATCTTGAAGGACTTTCCAAACCTGGGCATCTGAATAATTAAACAGGCAGGCACCTGAAAAAGAAATACTTATTCAACAAACTACTTACTGGTCCGAGTGGTCCATTATCAAATAGTGATTAATGTTAAGTTATTCAGAAAGTCCTTGTTACACAGGGTGATTCAGGACAACTCTATCAAACTACATGGGTGGATTAATCACATGATACAGAATAAAAAGTCCTATTAACATGGTTCTAATTCTGAAAGGTTAGTACATTACAGTAGTTTAAAAGTAAGATACAGATATACTAGAAATATAAGACTTTAATGAAAAACTTCACAACTTCAGTATTAAACTAAAATAAAATGCATTTCAATAGTTAAATAGGCTACAAAAACTATTTTGAATAATTGACAGCATGCTGCCACCAAACACAACGTTGCAAACCTCAACAAAACACAGCAGTGTAGTGTACAGTAATATGCAATGCACAAATGTATCAGAGGCAGACACTTTGAACAGTTTTCATAACATGTTTATTTAAGTTATAAGGAATGAAATGCGGGGTCTGCAGTGGCCGCGAGGTCTGAGGCGTGGGTCTTGTGCTGCTTGGTCGCAGGGACCGTGGGTTCGAATCCCACTCAAGTCATGGATGTTTTTCTGTGTTGTGTTGTTCTATGTACAGGTAGAGAGGCCTTGCGACGGGCCGATCCCTCGTCCAAGGAGTCCTACCGAATGTCCATAGATCAAGCCAACTGAAAAGTTGGGGACCCATAAAGGGTACCGGAAAATGTATAAACATTGTTAAACCGGAAAAAGAAGAAGAAAGAAGAAGAGGAATGAAATGCATGTACAAGCATGTGTATATATCAGATTCGAAGCAAATTTCATGGATCTCATTCTCCCAAGCATCTCTCATAAATTTTCAAATCTCTCCTATTGGCAATACTAAAATGCATACATAAGAGCTATAAACATGTTTCAAACACAGTTTTAAATTTTGCAGTTGTGTATTTCTAGAAAATAAAAACAATAATGCCCATCACGGCAATTTTCATTATAAATGAAATCCACTGACACAGAACAGGAATGAGTAATTGGCTTTGTGATTGATATTCTTTAAATATGATTGAAAACTACCATAACAGAAGCTGCATATTTTTTACATCACTCACCGTTAGTGAAGAAAAATACTCATATGACTGCCAGAATTCCAGCAACAATACAAAAAATATAACTTCACTGAATCAAGTGCTCTTCTGGCCTACCTCCTTCAGCTTGATGTCACTAGCTAGAAAACTCTGCTCAAATAGCTGCTGAACTGATGGAAGGATGAGGTGCTCATCTTTCTCCACAAACAGCTGGTAATGATAAGCTTCTTGCCCTGAACTCAGTTTCAGGAAAGGCTCAGCCCGAAGTATCTGAGCTATTAATGATGTAAGGAATTCTTCTGGATCTGTAACATTCGTAATAAAACATAATGAAGGAAGCATTACCTTTCAATCTTAATGTAGACAAAATTTCTGGTATAATTTAATTGTACAGAATAGCTAGTACCAAATGAAAGTGTCATTAATTTGGTTAAGTCAATTACCAAGATTAAGGATTAGTGGTATGTGGGTTGGTTAAGTATAAACTCTACACAAGTGAAATTAATTCCCTGGTGCAAATGTATCATGATCTACCAAATAGAAACATCAGGTCCCTTGCCACTTGTTAAAGCAAATTAGTTTCTAATAGTTAGTTACCTTTCTCTTCGCTTGTTAATCCCGTGACAGAACTCAGATTTTCAAGCAATGTCCTTAACTTCATCACTCTGTCTGCCCTGACATACAAATTCTGGCGTAAAGGATTTACTATCTCTTCCCGCAGAACCCTCTGCACTTCTTGATACTGGGGCACATCATTTTCAGTTTGTGGCCGGAAAAGTAAACTGTCAAACACACTGAAAAACCGACGTACATAACGGCATAAAGTTTAAATACAGTGGAACTTTATTTGTACATCTTTCAAGAATCAAGAAAAACTATGGTCAGACAATGAAAAGTACTAAAACAGTAAAATTACTATATCGCAATAACCTTGCTCTGAAAACGCACTAGTGACAAGGCTCATCCTCAAACAATGAAGCATGATCTGAAGCCTTCCTGGTAACCAAGTATAATGAATTCTTCTCAGGCTACCAGCTGAGCGAGGTGAATTTCAGTATCCTGAGGATGAGGACAAAGATGGTTCTCAAAATGGTGTTTTCTCCATTAAACTACCCTACTCGGCTGGTAGCCCGAGAATAATTAATTAAACAATGAAGCAGTTGGGCCAGGTATTTCTCTCGTGATTTGTGTCATACAATAGTCCATTCAGAGTTTGTTCTTGTTTCCTTGTCAAAGAGGGTACTTTCAGACTCTGGATAGTATCAAATTAAATTACCCCAGAAATGTAATTTCTGAAAACCAAAGGACCATCAAATTAAGTAAACAGTAACAATAAAACAAAATAATTTAGAAACACCATACTAGAAGGGAGATGCAAGAGTTTACAGTCTTTTTCCCAAATTTAGAAAATTATTTCTGTGGCCTGTTTGTAAAAATTAAAATCACATTTACCGACCATAATCAAAAATAAAATTTGTCAACTTCGATGTAAGCAGACATTTTCCTCTCATATATATATCGATTATGGATGACTTAAACATAATATATTACACACATGGTTAAATTATATTGTTCTTCTTACCTTGTAAATGTAAACATGCTGAAGAGTGTAGCATCTAGGTAACATGAATTATGGTGACCCTGAATGCCTCGATACTTTCCACACAAACTTTCAAGATTTCCTTTCCTGCTTATAGGTCCAACTGCACCAGGGATCACTGGACACTGCACCTGCCCAAACGCTGCAGTGAACACAAATCAAAGTTTTTACCTACTAGACTTTGATGGCACAAAATATACCTTACAAGTTCATGAATATCTGCACCTGAATTCCAACATG